AGGGTTGCTACGTCGGTTTCTGTGGTTGCATTTGCAAAGATATCATCAACATAGCGACCGTAATGTTTAAGCTTATCGATCTGATCGCTTGGTAGGAATCTCTCCAATTTGCCCATAAAGACATCAGCTAGGAGAGGTCCAAGGGGTGAGCACATAGCAATGCCGTCTACTTGTCTATAGAGTTGGTTGTCGTACAGGAACTGCACATTTAATGTGCATCTTAGTAATAGTTCCTTGAGTGCTTTCGTCGGAATTCCTATTTCCTGCTGACTGGCAGATCGAAAATCACAGATGTAATCAACTGTCTCGGTGACCGGGACGTTTGTAAAAAGTGATGAGACGTCTAACGAGAAAAGCACTATGCCGTTGACGTGAAGGTCTTTGATGTCATCAGTGAATTCAAAGATATCTCGGTAGCTGCGTGGTGCTAGCTGACGCTGTACGGGCTGGAGTTTCTCTGCTAGCCACTTTGCTGTCGCATGATACGGAGAGTTTCGCATGCCTAAAATCCGACGGAATGACAGGCCTTCCTTATGGATCTTAGGTAGACCATATAGTCGAAGGATATGTGTGCCGACTGGTCGAAGGTGTTCTAGGTCGCGGTCGCTTATGTGAACCCCTGTTTGAAGCCTTCTTAGACAGTCAGTCAGTTTCGTCTCTACTTCTTCCGTGCAATCCTTTTCTTTGTCTACCTTCCTGCATTTCTTCTGGTTTAATAATATGGACTGTATCTTCGCTACGTAGTCCCATCTGTTCATTATAACGACGCCTGTTCCTTTGTCCGGTCTAGTTACCAAGATATCTTTGTTCTCTCTAAGTTCTTTTAACTTTTCCACATGTGCTTTTGTCAGCAATCCCCCGACTTTTTGGCCCCTTGTTCAGGTACTGATAAATGCAATTCACCAATGTTGATTTAAAGTGTTGAATACTGTCTGTGGAAGCGGGCACTAGATCATAGGTTTGATTCCATAGGTTCTCGAACTGAGTTTCCAATTCTATCTGATTAACTTTTCGACGAGGTATGCAAAACTTAGGACCAAGGGATAATGCTTCGAGTGATCTTTTACTTCAACCCCGTTCCCATATAACTGTACTGGCCCGACGAGAATTTATCGAAAGCTACGTATGCTCATCACCTCGTCTTCTGGTTAATGTTAGGGTTAGGTTCAGGGTTGAGGTAAGTGTTAGGGTTAAGCTTAGGGTTTGAGTTAGGGCTAGGTTTAGAGTTAGGGTTAAGGATACGGTTTTGGTTGAGGTTAGGGTTAGGCTCGAGGCTAGGGTTAAGGTTAGGGTTTGGGCTATGTTTAGGGTAAGGGTGAAGGCTATGGTTAAGGTTAGGATCAGGGTTAGGGATAAGGCTAGGGCTTGGGTTAAGGTTAGGCTTTGGGTTTGTGTTAAGGCTAGGGTTAAGGTTAGTTTTTAGGTTAAGCCTGGGGTAAGGGTTAAGGCTAGGGTTGAGGTTAGGGTTTGGAGTAGGGTTAGGGTTACTGTTAGGTTTAGGGTTAGGGTTAGGATTAAGAGCTAGGACTTGAGTTAAGTCTAGGGTTAAAGTTAGGGTTTGGGTTAACGTAAGGCTTAGGTTTTGGTTAAGGTTTATGATTTTGGTTAAGGTCAGGGCTAGGGTTAGTGTTATAGTTAGAGTTAGGGTTAGGGTTTGGGCTAGGGTTAGGGTTTGGGTTAGACTTAGTGTTGAGTTTAGAGTTAATGTTTGAGGTAACTCTAGGGTTAAGTTTAGGATTAAAGTTAGGGTTGGGGTTAACATTAGATTTAGGGTTTGCTTTTGTGGTTAGGATTTTTGTCAAGGTTATGTTTATGCTTAAGGCCAGGGTTAGGCTTAGGGTTAGGTTTTGGGCTAGGGTTAGGGTTTGGGTTAGTCTTAGTGTTGAGTTTAGAGTTAATGTTTGAGGTAACTCTAGGGTTAAGTTTAGGATTAGAGTTAGGGTTGGGGTTAACATTAGGATTAGGGTTTGGCTTTGTGGTTAGGATTT